CAGCAGTGCATTCACGTAACCCGGGGCTGAACAAACAGCGGGTGCCCGTTAACCAGCCCTGCGCAGCCGCTGCAGCGTGCAGATCGTGCTCTGACCCTCTCTCCCTTTGCAGGCCACAGCAACAGACCAGGTGGTTGGATTCGGCTTGGTTGCCTTCCGCCTCGTTCTCTTTGTTTACTACACGCTCTGGATCATCGTACTGGTACGAGGCTCCTCTGGCCGTTACAGTCCCAGTCACTTCACACTCGAGTGTTCCCTAGGGTTTGTTTAGGTGCTGATGTGTCTGTGTGCCTGAAGGACTCTGTCTTGTGGTGTTCCTGGCTAAAAAAATTTCAGGGCAGAGCTTCCTCTGTTTGCTGCCTTGCCCTTTCTGGGCGCGCCTGTCCTTGCCTGGGTGAGACCAAGCTCTGATCTCCGCCTGTCCTGCTGCTCTCAGGCAAGCTGACGGCCGGTGTAAGATCCGAGGCTCACTCAAGCTGTCAGCGAGCGCTGAAGCCTGGTCCTTCTGGAGGTGTTGTCACTGGTGTTTACGTTTGCGGTTCTCCAGATTCCTGGTTCTGGTGGGAGAGCACAGAGGGAAACAAAAAAAAAAAAAGATGACTTTTACCAAATCTGGAGCCTGGTAGGGAGGAGGAGAGTTTAGGGAATGCAGCGTTCTGGAAAAGTGATTGTGAGCTTGGCAGTTTGCCCACTTCTAGGGACACATCAGCGGAGGTCATTAGTGGATTTCTCCCAGAAAGAAATGTCTCCTCATGAGCTTTCCAGGTACAAGAGTCCTGGCTCAGCCCTGGGCTGATGTCTGAACTCTTGGCAGCTTCCCCTCTAACCTCAGAGTTTTGAATTCCCCTCTTGTGTCTGCTTACTCTGCTGCCTGATAATGCTCGCTGCTGTGTAGGAATCCTTACACTGCTCTCTAGTGTCCAAAGCCTTCCACTGGCCTCCACAGAGGGATCCTGGTGGGATCGCAGTGAAACTGAGCCAGCATCAGCTGCTCCCTTCTGCAGGGCACAGTCTGGGGATTTGCTGTTTTCAGCACCAAGCAGACTGGTGGCCAGGCCCACCCTGACAGCTCAGGGCTGTGGGACCCCTGTGCCAGCCTCATGTAGCTGCCCCTTGTCATCCATTGAACGCTCAAGCCTTCGCAGCCCACCCGCTGTCGTGTCCCTGCAGCTGTGGGCTGAGCCACCTGCAGGTCTGCGCACTTTTTTTTTTTTTTCCAGCTCTCTGCTCACGGCTGGTATTTTCATCCTGCTTTTGAAACCACAAGGTTGCAGGTGTCAGGGGCTTGCCCAGGTGTTGTGCCCACTTGCTGACATGCCTCTCTGTCTCCTGCAGCCCTTCATCGACAGTGACCATGGGATCCACCGGTACTTCTTGCCTAGGGAATATGCAGTTATCATCCCCATAGTGGCCGGTCTGCTGCTGGTGCTATTTATAGGTGAGCGTTATTTCTGTTGTTCTAATTAGAAGCTTCTAAATTAGGAGGCGAGAAGAGGGTAGCTGGGGGATTAGCTAATGTGTGACACTCGTGACACACTCTCTGTGGCTTCTGCCGCAGCGCACCCTGGCACGGGCTGTCGAGGTGTGTGTTTGTGAGTAACTTTGGCTGCTTGAGCCTCTGGACAGCAGAATTGTTTCTCACTCGCTCTGCTGACGTTCTGTTTCTCACTATGATGTGTGCCCATAATTAGAAGTTTTCTGGCTGAATCTGTTCTCTCTCGTAGGCATTTTTATAATGGTTGTAATGTGGAAGAGCAGGAAACCTGCCAAGAAATCGGACTGAAGGCCCAGCTGAGAGAGATGAGGAGAAGGCACCTACCCTGCAGCATTGTAGCCAGGAAAAGACTTTGCCTGCAGCACTGGGAGACGCTTCCTCCAGGGCGCTTGGTGCTGAGCTGGCTGCGCTCTCCTGCGTTCCTTCCTGCAGAGACGAAGCCTTCTGTAGTTTACAACTTACTGACTGAAGGGAAGTAAAACTGACCTCCAGGGCTCATCAAGAGGGACCAGAGCCCCGGCTGTGAGGGACCTGCTCCCCGGCTGGGGCTGCCCATACCAACTGTGCTTCGGCCTGTGCTGGCTAGAGGAGCTGTTGAGGTCCAGCAGCTGTAACCGCCAGAGTGCGAGTCCAGCCCTGACCCCTGCCCACTGCTCAGCCTCTGGGTAATCCTTCCCCTCTGCTCTCGCTGTGTCCAGTAGTCTGTTCCTTCTGTTGGGGCTTTTTGTTCGTTTGTTTGGGGGTTTTTTATGTTTACATATGGTTTGTGGGATTTTTTTAAATTGGATTCAAGATAGAAAAGAAATGAGACTTTGGGCTTGGAAAAGGCAGGCTTGTGTTCTCCATCCACCTGCTGGAAGGGCTGATCATGGTGCTGGTGGGCTTTCAGGTTTCTGAAGAGGGACCTCCGTGAGGCTAGGCGTGCAGAGGATGCAGGGACGGTGCTGCTGCCGCCCTCTGCGTCCCCTCCTGCAGTCACCCGGGGTGGTGATGAGATGCCCTGGGTCGCAAGGACGCATTCGGCTCTGCCACTGATGGGCACAGTTCCCCTCACAGCTGTCAGCTGCTGGCTGGGTTCCTGCCCCTGGACAAGGCTCCATGTGCCAGCTGGGCTGGGGCTGCGCAGGCAGGCCTGGTGGCACCCTGTCCTTCCCCTGTGGGGTTTCCTCTCCTGGCAGCAGCTTCTGCCCTGAGATGCAGTTCCCCAGCAGCTCCCCCAGACCGCAATGAGCAGGATCACCCTCAATAAAGGTCCTCAAGGTCTCGGTCACTGTCTTCCACCCGTGTCGAGGGGGTGCCGCAGGCCTGCCAGGTTGGTTTCTGCCGTGCTGGGGAAGGTCCTGCCCTGGGCTCTCTGTGAGCCATGTCCTGCCGGTGGGGACAGGCAGGGAAGCGCCAGAGAGAATCTGGCTGGGCTGGGCATGCCCAGCGCTGTGGTGGCCCTGCCACGTTGGGGGCTGCTTTATCCCATGTGGGCTAGCTCCAGCAAAAGCAGGGCAGATTGATCTGACCCTTCTCACATGTTCTGTGAGCTTCCCCTACCAGACAGCAGCGTGTCCCGCTGCCTCCCTTCCTCCTGGGAGGTGATGCTGGTGGCTTGGGGGCACCCCAGGCTCTTGGGCTGAACCTGGCTGCAGTTTAACCTGCCGTCTGCCTGGAGCTGGTGGGTGGTCTGGAGGCGAGGGTCTGGCTGGGGATTTGTCCCCAGCTCTGGCAGAGGCTGCCTGGCTGTGGGGGCTGCACACCCGCCCCGCTTGCTTGTCGCTGTGCCCTCCCTGAGGCAGAGTCCCCCATCCCTGTTTTCCCTTGCCTGTGCCTTGCTGCTGCCCCTCCTGCCGGTGAGGAATCCCTCACTCCCCTTCCCAGCCCCTCGCCCGCTGGACGTGGCTCAGCCCACCCCGTCAAGGTGAAGCTGGGGCAGGGGGAGGCAAAAGGGGTGAAAACTCGGTCATGTCTGAGCATCTCGAGGTGTGCCCTGCTCCCTGCATGGGAGCCTGGCGGTGTCCCTGTCACCTCTTCTTTCCTGTGGATCAAAGCCCGTAGGGGACAGGGTTGGTACCGGTTTCAAGGTTACTTCTCATATTTCTTTGTCAACAGCAGGAGAAAACAAAGTCCAGCAGCCCTCCCTGGGCAGGCGGGCAGCAGGCAGTTCGCTCCGCAGCCGTTTCTGACAGGTGCTCTGCAGCTCGGCCCTGGCAGGAGGGGCTGCAGGTGACAAGTGGCCCCCCCCAAGGGACATCGGACAGGGACTGGGGTACCAAGAGGCCTGCATGTCCCGGCCCTGTTCCTGAGCCATTTTGGATCATTTTGGTCCTTGAGCTGGTCCCAGGGACCAGCCTGAGCTCACCAGCGTCTGCCATGGATGGGAGCTAGTGGTGCACGGAGGTGAGCAGGGGGCTTTGGGGCAGGGGGGGCTGGCTGCAGGGGATCCCCAGGCTGGAGGGGAGCCTGAGAGGGCAGAGCAGGAGGTGTAGAGAGAAATGGGTGCTGGGACCCGGTCCCGGGGCACACCGGCTGGGTGCTGGGGTCAGTACCAGGAGGGGTGGTCCCAGGACGGGTGGGATGGGTGCCGGGGTCGGTGCTGGGTGCC